GCTCGTGACTTCGTTGCCGGCCGCGCTCAACTCGCACATGATGCCCGTGAGTGCACAGTGGCGGAGGCAGGCCTCGCAAGCATGAGGTGTTTCTCCTTTCGGTCGGCTTGGATCTCTGCGAAGGGTATCCTGTCACTTGGTAGATACTGTAGGCTGTACAAGCTGCTGCTGGAGACGCTGAAGCAGTTCACGAGGAGGGCTGACCTGCGCTGTCAAGTGCTGGTTTTGGATGCAGTCTACCCAGGATCTCATTCGAACAGCGCTCGGTCGGCATATGGCAGTGCCCGATGACACATGGGACGGCGGCTGAGACGACCAGCATCACCTGCCTTGATGTTATCTCCATGTAAGCTGATGACTTTGAGCCAGGCACAACTTCGCTTGCTCATGGAGCGGCGGATTGACGACAGTTTGGTTCTCTGGAGGTCATGTCCCGAGAAACTTTTGTGTCTTTGAATGTGCGTGCTTTGCAGCTCCAAAGCGCTGCAACAGGCCTTTTTTGCAGTGGACCTGCGGGCTTGGAGGCGGAGCGCCCTTGGCAGGAACGGCAGCGACCACAGACCACAGGTTCTGAGCGCTAAGCTCCCCTGGAAGTCAGATGGCGGGTCATCCATGGCTGAGGTTGCTGATGCAGTTTGCTCTCGCGTTGCAGCGACCCTGCGGAGGCAAAAGTCGAGGCCTGAGTAGCGGTCTGGGATAGCCAGGATAGCCCTTGAGACATCCAAGTCCAGATTGCAAGATTTGCGAATCTCGTGCAGCTTAGGAAATCGGCAGAGGAGCTGTTCAATGCCTTGGCTGGGGTCAAGGCTCGATTGCCATTGAAAGCTGTGCGCAAGGGCCCTTCACCTCATGCCTCTTGTGCAATGTAGGTGACATTGCTAAACCGAAAACCCGCCACTAGGTATCCTTCCATACTTTAAGCCCTACAGTAGAAGCCCATAACGCTGTGTGAGGCTGTGGTTTACTGGGCAGACTTCAGTGCCTTCTTCTCGCAGATGGAGCAGTCTCTGTTCACTCCTAAGAGGGCTGGTCTCCTTCTCATGAGCTAGAGTCTAAACTCCTTTAAGGGGGGCTATATGGTGGATTAAATAGGGGATACTAGAAGTTTAGACCATGGCTCTCATGCACTCTACTTGGAAGTTCTCCTCTGCCTTTGTTATGATATGTTCGCAAGATGTCGTGAAGGATGTTGCTGTTGATCTTGGTGAAAGAGGAGGCCGTTGCCGTAGTTCTCCAAATTGCAGAGTCTTCATAGGCAACCAGTCCATAGTTTTTGCCACAAGGCCCTGCTGATTTCGATGACTACCTCCACCATGTCCCCAAGGTTTGGTAAATATGGGGGGTTTCCGAAAATGAGTGGTACTTTTTTTGGAGGTTTCTATAATCAGGACTATCCTACTTTGGGGTTTGCATTGGGGTCCCCCTACTTTGAGAAACTACAAAAGATGCTGAGCTCTTACCGCCCGACTAGATGCGGGCAGTAAACGTAGCTCCCTCCCCGATTTTCAAAGACGAAAGAAGCGCCTGTGTGGCAGACCTCAGAACCCGGCAATGCGGATCACTGAAGCCGGTGAAACCATCAAGTCATAACTGATAACCCATGGTCCTTGATACTTAGTTACGTTTGTATAGTCCTTGCGGTTTCCAAGCTGCAGAAGAAGGCATTGCACAATCCAGCAGAAAGTGCGGGACTCTTCCACTATCTTTATTTCAGAATGACAACGCCGCGAAACAAATTTCTGGCATTGTTCCAGCCGGTCAGGTGCTCGGGATAATTTGCCCTGCAAGCCAAGGTCCGAGCAACAACTGCAGGAGCTTTGGTTCACTTTCGACAAGAACGGAGACGGTAGCGTGTCAAAGGAGGACAGAAGGGTTCAAGTCGTGCCCAATCTTGCAAGCTGAGAAGCATCATGCGAATTCCTGAGAGGAATTCACGCGAAGACTTGCCGACGTGGATTCTGCGTCCAAAGCCATGACTACAGCTGTTTGCGCGCGTCAGTCGCTGAGCTGCCAGGTTCAAGGAAGCACACCCACCTGATTCAAGCTTTTCGCAAAACATGACACTGCATGTTGAGAAGCAGCAATGTGCTTCAGAGTCGCTTCTGTGGCCGTGCCAGCAGCGCCGGTGCGAGCTGAGGCGTAAACAGTGCTTTGCGGCGTGAGGGCAAGAGTGTGAGATCCCCAGCATGTCGGTCTTTCAGAAAGCAAGGGCAGCGACCACTCTCATGCACGGATGCCTTGTAGCTTCAAGATGGCTCTTCAAACCCGAAATCTTTGCTTCGGCTACTTGTAGTTGAATTGTGAAACACTGTGACTAATGTTTGCAGGACAAACCCACAGCACTGCAGCCAGAGCAGATGGCCAGTAAATCAATTGCAAGCATCTGCCATTGATACTGGTGACTTCAGAGGTGGATCAGCTCTTCCAAGCCCTGGCTGGCGTGAAGGAGCCCATGGCCGGTCATGTTTTTCCTGATTTTTTCTCATGTTGGAATCACGATGCTGCTCGTTGTCGTCATATTAGTAGCAGTAGTAGCAGCCGCCAAACATGTGTCATCAGAATGGTGCTACTGCCGAGGATAGTAGTCATCATAGTAGAAGGAGTAGCGCTTGTATCTATCGTGGGGCCAGGGGTAGTAATTGTTGTACTCATTGGAGTGGTGGTGGGGTTGTAGATGGTAGAAGTAACAGGAAGAGGCAGAGGAAGATGAGGCTTGCTAGTGATAGTAGTAGGAGTAGGAGTCGCAGCGGAAGTAAAATACATTTGATACTAAAATTTCATGCGTTGCCGAAAGTAGCTAATACCTTGCGAAGTATGACATGCTAGCTGCTAGTACACTAAGGTCATGCAGGATTTTAGTATCAATCATAAAAGTAGCAGGAGAGCAGCAGCAGCTTTTTCGTGTGGCTCTGAAGTGTAAAGGAAGTGGTGCGCTGGCCCGATTTCCGCGCGCTGTTCTCGCAACTCGAGCTCTGCCCTTACTCGGAGTTAAGCGTGAAAACTAGGGCCCAATATCATCAAGTACCCCCTGAACTGGTTGATAGCTTAGTTTAGGATTTCCCTGTGCAGACCATATTTCTGCCGCACCCATTTGAGTCAGAAGGCCGACCCTCCGAGAAGAGCAGCTGGAACACCTCTGGCGCTACTTCGACACGGACTCCCTGTAGAGGGTGGTTGAGGGTTTGGGGCGAGCCTGAAGAAAAGCATACGCTCACATATTATATGTATAGTGGAAGCTACTCAAAAGAGTACTATAGGGGCTATTAAGGGGGATGCTAGGAGATTAGATTATGCTAGCCTATAGCTCATATATGTATGCTTACGCATTCATATTCACATTAATATGTACATGCACACTTGCGAACCACCCCCTGTTGCAAAACAACAAGTCGGCCAAGGCTTCCGGAACATCCAATAAATTCAGAAAACACTCACTAACTCCGAATTCCAGGGAACAAAGCCAAAGACTCAGACAACTAAATCTTTGCCACGTCCAGGTTATCGAAAAGGCAAGAAGGGAGTTCCCAGGATGGATGTTTCTAATGCCAGAGATTCCAAAAGCTTAACATTCCCGCCAGCAGATTTAAGAGCTCAGGATGAGTTGAGCTATAGTGTAAACTCCTTGAAGGGGGTTATAGAAGGGATTACATAGGCGACTGCCTTAGGGGCTTATTGAGGGGGGATACTAGCAGTTTATATGTTCGAGATATTTCTAGATCTGCAAACTCCTGTAACGCTAAAGATAGCTAGAGCCGTGATAGGGTGGTAGTGACAGAAAGCCAGGGCTCGCACGCGTTTGTGAAACATGATTCTTGACAAGCTTTTATTTGGATATGTGTAAATTGGACTCATCTCACCCAGACGAGAGCATTTCTCTTCAGAAAGAACAAACACCGCCAGGACAGGGTTTGGAGGTGGGTCCTGAAACGGGTCACCATGTGCATGTGTGTGTGTAAAGTAATATATAGCAAGCTTCTGGTGTTGATGGTGTTGACATTCATGAAGGCCGCTGGGAGCTTGGGTTTGTGTTTCGTGACTTGCACAGGACGGCGATGGAGGGGTTTCACGGACCGAGTTTCAGAAGGCTCCATGGCTCTGTTGACGAAGGGTCAATGAGAAAGAGTGGTCCATGAACCCGCCAGGCCCTCACAGAAGTCGGCATCAACGCGCCTCCTGCGTCTGTCACACAGCTTTGAGCTTGGCCATTTAACATGTGGTGAACTGCTGGAGAGCGGTGCTTTCCCTGTGCCCATGGGCTGCACAGCGAGAAGCACAGAAGCTGTACTGAGGCCTGCGGCGGCGAAAGCACAGGCAAAGCCGACGTTCCTTTTAAACCTAGTGGCATGGCAAGTTGCAATGGAAGGCCAGTCCGGCGGTCTCGCTACAGGATCGGGTGCTGAACGGTGCTATTGCGCTTCTTCTTGCAGCATGCTGCCAAGCTTTTCTGCCACAGGAGGTTTGTGCCCGTGTCAACAACGCTTTGCGCCGCAAGGCCTGCAAGTGATTGCTTTTTAAATGCAAGCACCAGTACCCGCCCGCAGCGCTTGTGGTATTGTCTCATGTCAATGCAACATTGTCCATCCCAAGCTTGAAAGGATTTAGTATGATGTAGTCCAACATGAAAGTCAGGCAGTTCCTTTCATGCAGACCTTGAGCCTGCTTGACCATGCCCGCAAGCAGTCGATTGACGTAGCGCGCTTCTACAGACTTGCGAGATCTTGTGAGTACGAGTCGTCCTAGCCATGACAGCGACTCTTGCATGGACTTCAACGGGATCTGCTAGCCAAAGACTGCCGAGGCCTGAGTTCGTTGCAGTATTGAGAAGGACGCTACTACAAGCATGGTTGAGGGCTTTTAACGGATGTGGATGACTGACACGAGCAGTTTGCAGCATAACACAACCTGCTTCAGTCTTACGATGAAGGCGGAGGGCAGTTCCAAAGAACTTGGCACGAACAAATGTAAGAAGTTTGATTTGAAAATGCCTGAGCCTGCGTAAGGTTGCTGCAGCCCCGGCCAACACTGCGACCTTCTCCGCTGGTGCGTGACCGCAATCTGCATGACCGCAATCTGCGTGAATCTGCATGGCTCTCCCGCGCTGGCCGACGAGCAAGGGACGGCAACGAGGCAAGCAGCGTGCAAAAACTGATGGCCTGGCGGCAGTGGGTGTGTTCAGTGCTGCAACTAGTGATGAAGCAGGTGCAATATCATGAATGAGGTCCTTGAAGCTGCAGCTCGTTCTTGTATTCTCTTCTTGCAGGCAAAGGTGACTCGGCAGATTTTCACTTTGGCCTGGCCGGCAGTCCTTGGAGCGTCGATCGACCCAGTGCTCTCGCTTCTAGACACCTACTGGGTCTCCAGATGTCTGGGGATGTTGTCCTTGGCCGCGCTTGGCCCAGCATTGAATGTTGAGGACTACCTTCTTGGAAGCTGCTGCTGCTGCTCCGAGGTAGATTGAGTCAGAGCCTCTCAGCCCTGCCAGGATTGGATGTTTGACATCCTCAAGACAGTGCAAGTGCCGGTCCGCTCACTGACATCCGAGTCGGTCGCTGCTGGACGACCTGAGGAGGTTCAGGAGACTTTGTCGCAGGCACGGCGTGGAAGACTCCATTACTCGCAGAAAACTGCAGTACTTTCTTGGTAGGGGATGGCATCAACTGTGTGCCAGTGAGTTCTCAGCTGTTGCAGGCATTGTGCTTCTGCTGGAGGGTGGGGCTCGCGGTCGTATCTTGGTGTGATTGTCACAGTACTTTACTCTTGTAATAGGAAGCAACCACTGAATCAGACAGATGATGGTACACGCCCCTTGTTGTTGCAGCCCAGGCAATTCTTGGGTCAGCTATCTCAACCTTTCTCCTTAGATTGTCCTCGGTGGAAGCTTCGTCTCCGCTGCGCCTCGGCCCCCCCAGCCTTTAGAGTTCCTAACTGTCAAGTTTCACTGCTATGCCTGCATAACTCCATGATGATAATCATAACAATGACTGGGAAGACCACGGCGATAGCCACGACTTACTGCGACTACTGCTATGATCACGATTAGAATATTCATCATACTCATATGAAATAAATGAACCTTTGCGGCAGGACTTACCCAGTGCGAGCTGCAGTTGGCTTGACATCTTTGAGTAAGGCTAGCTATTGCAATAACAAACCTTACAATCCCCTACGTAACCCTATATAGCCAAAATAAACCCAACATAACCCCCTATATCAGCCCTAATGCCATTCCTGTAGTTGTTTATAAGGTATAATCCGAGTTTCCATTTCATTTTCCATTTTCTTTTCCATTTGATCACGAAAGCTCCCCGTGTGGGAG